AAACCTCATGTAGCCTAATTTTCCTCATCTCCATCTTTTCAATATATTATCTCAAACAGAACATGAACTTTCCTGGCAGAAGCTAGATCACAGAAAGACATCTGCACTCATGGAATTTTAGAAAAGAGAAGAATCTCAGCAGTAGGAAAACCTACTTTCATTGGTGACTCCCTCTCAGTAGTGTATTCTACAGAGTACAGCAAGAACACAATTTCATAAAAGGGAGCCATAATAACCAAAAATCTGGAAAAATGTAGAACAGCTTCTAACTCAAATTTCATGTTCTGCAATAAACAGAAAAAGCCCCACAGAACTGAAAGATTTCAAAGCAAATTTATCTATGTCATCTGAATACTGCTTAATAGAAGAATGATCTTCTCAGTCCTCTGAATAGATCAATGTTACCAGCACCTAAAATTATGCTGTAACCACACAGCACCCATTACATCTATCCATAAAGCCAGCTAAGTCTCCGAAAACTTTACTACAAATGGAAAGAAAACGGGACAGGCTAAAAAAAAAAACCCCAAACAAAAAAACAACTCCCTTTTGATTCCATCCAAACCATGTCTATGCACAAACAATAAGCAATATAATCATAGGAGTGGATTCTACTGACCTCTCAAACCCTGAACAAAAAAGCCAACGACTCCATCATGTTCATGTGTATCTCAGATTAATCGAGCTGTTAATATGCTCAGTTATAATCTAATCAATCCATATGCCTTTTAAAGAAATCCTACCTCCTTGAAAGCAGCTGTTGGATAAATGGCACAATTTCAAAGCAAAGGAAAACTGGAAGCTGTACATCTGGCCACTAACTAGGGAAAAGTTACAGGCTGTGGGAAATCAGTAGAAACAAGGCTACCAGGGACACAGGGCCATGGGCAAACTTTCATTCCTTTGAACTATAATAGCAACATTGATGCTGAATTGCAGGAGGCAAGTTTTTTCTCTTAGCATTTCTACCTGTGTTTTCAAAACAGCTCAGGAGTATGTAATAATTACTAATTTACAGGGGGGGAAATACTTCACTGTAGTTAAAAAATAAGATTAGCAAAATTCAGGGAAAAAAATGGTTTTCATCTGTAAAATAAAAACCCTGCTTTCGAGTCTCCGAACTGCTGCATTTGACAGTCTCTGGACTTGCAATAAAACTAAGAATCCTTCCACAGGATTTATGAAAACCACACCATATCAATACTAAATTTTAACACAGGCACACCCCACGTTTTCTTTAACAGTATTGTCACAAATGAAGCATTTAATAATTATTATCCTTCCTAATATTCTGCTGTTGTGTTTTGCAAACTTGTAACGTTTTCGAGTACTTACGAAAGAAGTCTGTCAAGTTTTGGTCCATGGCGTCCCTGAAGGACAGTAGGGGGCTTGTACACCTTCATCATTCCTTACTATCTGTACAGATCCTCTGTTCCTGGAGCTCCTGGTCTCTTTATTTATGAAGCAGTGACCATTCTGAAGTTATTTATAAACTTTAACTCATTACATTCCCAAGTGTCATGTTAGATACCAACTCAGTGACTCATATTCCTGACAATGTATTTACCACATAGGAGAGGGGAGAGAAAGTAAATTTACATGCACGAGTAGCACACACAGGCATGCCATGAACTAATGTTGTATTTTAAAATGGTCTTTGGCATTAGGTAATTCTGAAGGTATTAACAAATACGTGTGTCAACTGAAGCTGGCTTGTTATCAATCCACAGAATTTATAAACACCGCCTGGGCACCATTCTGACAACATGAAAAACAAGCCACAGAACAAAATATCCCTTCAGTTTGCAGGATCAAAAATGGAAGCTGGAATGTTTTAAAGCTTGCTATTACTGTGCATAAGTGAGTGCAAGTTAAGGAAAATTACAGCTAGCTTCAAGCACTCCCTGAGAAGGAAAGCATCCGCCATGTTTCATATGGTTTCTTACAAGACAGTAACAAAATTATCAATTCACCAGAAAAAATTACTTAATTGCACCTTATGTGTAATCTCGGCCTCATAAAAACCTCAGTGTTTCAGATGGCACATCTGGTCCTAGCAGCCTTAGAAATCTTATCACTCAGCTTTTGCATTGCACAGTAAGCAATACAAATACTCAAGAATGAAGCTCTGCAGCAAAATAAACAAAGCAGTATTAGTACTTTAGTACTTTACCCAAAATGTAAGGGCATCTAAATCCTTTCTAAAATAGAGAAAAAACTTTGAACCAAATTTATGTACTTCTGCTGGCAGTGCACTAATTTCACTCTTCAATTCCCAATTTTCCCAAGATTCCTGAACATTAGTTATGAAAACAAAGGAAAACATCAGAGCCATTGAAGAGCTCTCTCTGTTATGCCACTCTTCACTGGTCAGTCCTTCGGCAAAATATTTCTGAAGAAATGTTTCTATTTCTGCCTAGCAAAACCCTGATGCTCCAAGCCACATAATTTAACTTTGAAATTAGTCCTTCTCTGAGTAGAGGGTTGGACCAGACCTCCACAAGGTCCTTTTTTCAACTTTAATTTTCATGAAAGCAGATATTTTTCTCCAGCTTATAGTAATTTTAAAAATATTTTCCTGCACTTAACATGGGAGTCAGTTACACACTACTAAATCCAGGTACACTAAAAGGAAGGATGTAAGAGCAGAACTCAAAGACAACTATTACCAAGCCACATTTTAAAGAAAACCCCCACCCAACAGACACACATTCCACAAGCCATAGACTTGGCAAAGCCTTTCTCCTGATCCATCACAAACCCCATGTTCCTTCCCACGCAGTAACATTTATTCCCATTTCATGCATTCCCTGTAGTCTTACTGTTCCCCACAGGATTCAGGTCTGCCCACACTGCCTTTACCCTTTACTGAGACTGGAAATGTCACTTGGAGATATGTTAAAAGAAATATATACTTAGACCTTTTCTTCCCAACTATTTACTACTCTCTACATGATGGTAGTAACTCTTGTTCTTACAGTCTGAAAGCTGCAAGACAGCTACTACAGAAGAGAAGTTCTAGCTTAGAGTTAATGGAACTTTATTATAACCATGTAGTTACAGGAGTAATGAGACTGAAGAAGCATTTGTGAAATGTTTTAACAAAATTACATGTTCTTCTTAAGCTTAATGACACAAGAGCAATAGTCTTTCCATGGACAATCTGTCTAGGAGCATAAGTAAACACTCATTCCAGTGCTCCGTCCTTGTTTCAGGGAAAAACAAGACAAACCCAGAACTAAACTTCAAAGAGGACATTGCATTAAATGGAAACAAGTAAAGCACACTGATCAAAAAAACCAAGCCAGAAGAATGCCATCTGATAGGATGTCCTTCACATACCAAGAATTTCAAGAGACTTTCAGAGCTCTTAATATGGGACAGCACTTTTTTCTGAGGAGATGCCAATCTACAATGCTTCTCTCAAAAGTATTTCAGCATTAAATTTCAGATAATTCAACCTTCTAAAGGAACAGACAGCAAATAAAATACTAAAAGCCACCAATGTAGGACAGAAAAATATCAAAAGAAAAAAGGCTTTTTAAAAGTCTGTCAAAAGAAGTGACATAAAAGACTTTTATCATGACAGCAAACTTGCACATAAACACATCAAACAAACAAATTTGTAATGAGCTTCTTGCTATTTGTTTTTAAACAAGGTAACTTTCAGATTAAGTGATTCCTGCTGAGATTTAAGAACACACAGAAGAGACAGACAAGTATGACCAATTTTGATGTCAACCCTTTGTTCAACATATATAGCTTGTTTATCAAATGAATTATTCCTAAATTGGCAATCTGGTTCTGCTCATCTTTTCATAAACAAACTAATTGCTGAATAGCAAAACAGAAAAAGCTTGAGTGCTAATTAGACCCAACATGTCTAAGCATTCTTCCAGTTACCACAAAAAGATATTAGGTGCATTTACACCATGATTCTGGACCACCTCCCATTTATACAAGGCTCCTGTTCTCTGTATCTGTCCTGCATGTGACCTGAATCATTCCCAGCATCCCTTCAGGAAGGGAACAGCTAATCTCCTGGGAGTGTTTTGATGGTAAAATAATCCAGGATTGCAGCACAGGCAGTGTGCTTGGGACAGCCCAAGGTCTTACTGTTTTCACTTAGCCCAGTGTGACAGCACTGTCCTACAAGAGTTTCCCATGTCACACACCCATAGCCTAGACACTCACCCTACAGCAACATCCCATATTGCCACGAAACAAAGTGGGAATATGGCAACCACGCAGTTTGTAGAAATTGGGCACTTCATCAATACATAATGATTATTAAAAGGAATGGGAAAAAACCCTGTATATTTGAAATGCTATGGGTCTGAAAAAATATCCCACAGGCACAGAAATTGAATGGAACAGCTTAGCTTGGAGGAAGCACCAAGTGGTGAACACCAGGGGAACAGAACAGTCACTGAGGGCAGCACAGACATAACCAGCACTGCTCCAGTTGAAATTTCAACTGCTAAAGGCTCCATCAATTTATACACTAAAAGCAGAAAATTAAGGTTTTTTGCTAAATGACACAGTGTAAAGGCAAACAAGATTTCCAGTAGAATGTTCTGATCTACTACATCCACATTCAGGACAAAAACCCTGTCATTTGTGATGACTCAACTCTCAGCTTCTAAAACTTCCTTCCTCACTTGCTGCTTTTTTCATTGTCAGAAACTGAACACACAACAGTCACTGGAAAATTAATTAGCCGAGTTGAAAATGACAGCAGTGAACTCTCCCAAGGCTTCCCCTCTGATCTTCAGCTCTTTCCTGGCATGCCAATTTTAATGGCATTGTTTGAATGGGTGGAAAGCATGAACAAGGGATCCAGTGACAAAGCTTTTACAGAGCAGCACTAATGAAAACTGTGCACATAAAAATGCTGCCCTCATGCAGGACAGCAATTCCAAGTCCTTGACATTTATTTTCTCCTCATTAGGAATTAGCACTTCCTTGAACTGAACAGCTGTTCACTTTTAATACCATACCTTCTCTGGATTTCCATTTCTTCTTGTGATGGACCATTTTGTACTTGAGAGGGAAGCTGTGAATTCTGTCGAGGCAATGTAGGACCTAAGAGCAAAGACAGATCATAAATTAATGGTTTGAATTTTTACCATGCCAAAAAAAGCACAAAAATCAAGAAAAAAGGCCAGCCATCACATAACATTTTAAGAACTGCTCACTTCTGCTTTTTAAGCCAAACAAGCTCAACAACATAATGCAGCAAATAAAAACTGCAACCTCACGCATGTACAATGTTACCTCACACATCTGCAGAATGAATTTATTTCACATGGATGGAAAGGTCTCACAGAAATGCAAAACAAACTTTCTATAAGATGGAATTTGACAAAAGCTTTGAAAAGCACTCCAAGTCTGAATTTTTCTTAAAACAATGAACAAGTACTCTTGGAGGAGCAGGAAAGGCTCAAAAAATTAAAACACTCACCTAAATAGAACACTGGAAAAGGGGGAGAAAACAGAAAAAGGAAAAAAACAAAAGAACAGGAGAAAAACCATCAGAACCATATCACCACATTGAGAGAAGGAAGACAAAGCATGTTTCTACATTTACTCAGATTTCAGGTCATCAGCTTGGATCAAAGACCTTTTTTTGCATAGGTAAGTATTGTGTCCAAAGGAACGGGGGCATATAACAAATGTGAAAACTGTGAATTCTGCTAAGCACATGAGATGGTCATGCAAAATCATCTTTAGCCTTTACTGATGGGAAATTCCAAACTATACAACTTTAAAGTAATTGTCTATGCGAGATCTGTATTCTAGAAACAAAAAAAACTTTACCGTTTTAATCACAAATGCATTTACAGCACAAAACTGTAAAAAGAAGTGAAGAACAACAAAGTGTGGAATGGAATACAGGAGACCATGAATGCACTGCTGCTGTCAGGCAGTAATCCAAGAAACTATTCAGACTATAGCTATGCTCAAGATGATGAAATTTATAAGAAACAAGAACTAAAAATCAATTAAAATGTCAAGTTTTGAAAACGTCCAAGAGCAAAGCAGTAATTTCTCACAGGTATTCCATCAAACTAGTTAAGAGTTATGGAGTTGTAATGAGATCTTCCCATCTCAAATATCAAAATGCAAAATTTTCTCCTATCTGAACTTGTGAAAGTCACCCAGACCCATAAAAAGACCATGTGTGATACGCTGACACATCAAAGACAGGCAATTTGCTTGAGACACAACAAACAAATGCCTTGTTTAAAAGCCCTACAAAAAGGTTCATTTCCTCAGAATGCCTCAGTATTGAGTCCACTGTGCTCTTTAATCCTGAAAATTATAGAAGTGCACAGTATCTGTGTAGCCTACAATTACAAAAAGTAATGGAACTTAATTGTGGAAGACAAAAACAGGCAATGTACTACAGAGGTGATGTCTTCCTTAGTTATTCTTTCAGCAAGCATTAGGCCCTTATACCTAATTGCTTGATGTTGCTTGGGATGTACTATTTCTGCTTGAAGTATCTCCAAGAGACATCCACAGGTATAAAACCTATAGTACTTTAAATGCAAACCATTTAACTGCAATGATAAATTAATAATTAAATTATCATTAAGTAGAAACATCTGCCACATGGCTCATCTGGAAAACTCTTACAGAAGTTTTAAAGCAGAAAATACATGTCCTCCCTCTCCTCTGCCCTGTGTGACAGGTGGAAAGCTGTAATGCCCATTAAGCCATGACTGCAGCTCCCAGGCAGCTGGGCTGTCTGCTGCCTGCACCAGGATGCAGCCTTTCATGGACTTTTACAAGTAGACACAATCCAGCAGCAGTTAAAGGTGCTATAAACACCACCACTGCTGCTTGCCATGCCCAACAGAACACTTGGAGTAAGTCAAGGCTCACAGCTTGAGCTGCAAACTGCAAGCAACACTTTAAGTATCAGATATGTGATGAAATTCCTGTCCTATTCCTCAGAACGAAACACGCTGACCTAAAAATTAATAACGATGAACAAAAATAGAAAGAAATGGTCACAATGTGCCCATACACCAACCAGAACTATTTTGTACTGAAAATGCAGTAGAAATGAAAAGTTCAAGCTTCCACCAATTTAATCTTTAAGAGTATTTAACAGGTTTTTTGGAAGAAGGTATTATGCTGCAGTAGCTGGATGCAGACCACAACTCTTTAACCTTTCTACCTTAGTCCTTCTTTAGCCAACACCTCCAGAAAGCAAACACCAAGTTTCACATGCCCTGGCTCTTCCAACACACCTAGCTAAAACAGAACATGTTCTTGCAGTCTCAAACTTCATTCCAGAGCACTGTCCTTCAGAAAACCATGTTATCCATCAATTCTGCACAAGGCAAAGGTGAGCAAGCCAAGTCAGCTTTAGCTTGGCCAGCCTACCCCAGTGATGGGCTTCTATCATAGCTGTGCACACAGGAGACAGAACACAATCACCTGCTGGCAATGAACCTGGTGGTTCCAGTACTGCTTAAGACATTTTTGCCTCAAGGAAATGCAACCTGAGTACACCAAAGGTTTTCAAAAAAGGGAAGTTCAGCTCTCAAGTCATCCATCCTGTTTTCTCAGGAAATTTCCCTCTGCAGCCACCCTGTTAATGAACATTAGAAATCAAAGGTACATGCCAGTGGAAAAGTATGTTTTATCCTAGGTTTGTTACAGCAAGCCAAGACTACCACTTCATTGCTAAAATACAACTGCCTGGGTAGCAGGACAGGTGGTATATTAAATAAACAGGAACTAGCTAATAAAAACCTCTCTCAGAGGCTTTTGAACACTTCAGGATACCTCAGAAACATCAACCCCCACGAGAAATACTCAGATACTGCCTGGAAAAGAACTCTGATCCTCCTACAGGATCACTTTATCTTCAGAAGCCAATATAAGCCAACTGAGAGATGAGGCTGAATGGTCTATTCATTCTGAGTTTTAAAGAAAACCTAACATCTCTCTTTTTCTAAAAAAGCACAGATGGTGCACTCTGCAGCACATTCTGACAAATAGAGGATATAATTTCATACTAATTTGTTCAGCAGCCATTCCAGTTTCAGTGCTTTCTGTTTTTCAGCTTATTCTCACCTTTGCATCCCCCTTCTTCTACAGTAGTTCAGGCAACTGTGTGGTGAGAGATGGACTGGAAATCTAGCACATTAAAAATGCCAGGGAAAAAAGCCTGCATTAAGCATTTCCACCAGCCAGATAACAGCTAGACCTGGTTCTTCAGGCACTCACACAATCATGGTGGCATCAACATCACCCTTTTAAACCACAACCAGAGTTATAGTTCATCAACCTCCTTAATTTTTCAGCCCTAATTGACTGGTTACTTTCTATTTCTATTCAAAAGCCAAACCAGTTTCAGCTGCACAGCCCTATGAAAGCATAACTGGCAAGTTGGGAAAGCAAACACATGGTTTGTCCTCAATGCCTTTTGCTCCTCTTGCTTCACTCTTTCAGTTACCTTCTCTGTTTTGGAGTGTCACACCACACCCTACCTCACTTCTTTTAATGCCAGCTGCATTGGACATTATCAGTGTTGACACTGGCTGATATTGAAAATACCACATTGCTATAGCCCTAAAAAAACCCAACCATCAGGTGTTCAAGAGTGGCACAACACAGGTCCTGCAAGTTATACACTGAGCTATAGTGTGTGCTTTCATTTGGCTGGACAGGCTTGCTTGGGAGCTGGTAACATAAGGATGCATGAAATGGGGTTTGGGGGGGACCAGGGACAGCCAGATCACATGAAATCTTCCTCAGAACCCCACATGCCCTAATTCAAGAAGGCAAAAACACACAGAAAACCTCACTGCTGCAATTACTGTACTTCAGAGTGCACCAGTAAAAGACGTGCCCTAATTTTTGAATAAGTCTAGTAAAGCTGGTCAGCTATCACACACAAGAATTTTAGTTTGAGGTGAATGAAGATTTCCAGTTTTTCCCCAGAGAAACAGTTTATATAAACAACAACTCAGTAACTAAGAATTTCCACTCTTTCACTTCTCAGTATGTTAGTGCCAAAATTAAGCAGTGTTCCAATTACACAGTCTGATACCCAAATCAAAATATGACTTGTCTTTTAGAAGTCTTTTCAGAGACTGAAAGTGGACAGTAAATTTATTTATACAGGTGTATGATACAAACTAATTACAATCTTTAGGAAATGTTTTCTTTAAGGACAGTTTGAATACTCCTACTAAGCAAAGCCCACACTCCAAGTAAGGGTTCAAAGCTACAGCCAAAAAGATGTATTTTTGTTAGGGTATACGAGAATTTAGTACGAAAAAAAAGGTGTTTTACTAAATGGTTAAAGGTTTTCTGAATGAATGGAAAACAGGCTTTTCAGAGATCTGTGCAGGAAGCAATAAGAACAATTATGGTGAAGTATCTCTCTTTCACGTGTCTCCAGCTCCTTTTCCCATTCAGATCTTATCTTGCTCTAGGCCATGCCAGTACAAAGTCTGGGTTGATTTGCTAACCAGCCTTCAGCAGAACCAAACCCTGGACGTGTTATGGCTTCATATGCAAGACTATGATGGCCAAAAACAAGGGCATTAACTAGTGACAAAATTTTCTCTAGTACTTCTGTTTGGGTGAATCATCTTCCAGCCAAGACTTCCCTTCCCTTCCAACACCTACTTCCTCACTCAGAGTTACCTTCAGCTAAGTCACTCATCACTCCAAACTTGAAAGTAAATTCTTTCCACTTCAATCCACAAGCTCTCTTAACTCAATCAAGGTTATAAAAGGGAACAAGAATAATGAAACTATTCATTAAAACACTCATGAATTTAAGTAGAGGTAAGCCTCCTATCAGTGCCAGCAGAACCCCCTATCAGTGCCAGCAGTGCCTTGGAAACCAGGCACTGATAACCTGGGAGCCAGGCTTGGCTCAGCACCAGTGTGCTGGGGGACCTCAGCAGCTCCTGTTTCCCTCTGCCATCCTTCCATGGAGCTTCACCAGCAGGGAACTAGGGCTGCTTGATGAAACTAGAGTATCACAAACTTAAAGGTGCAAGTACTGAAGTTAAATACATCAATACCATCTACTGTGGGCTATTTATAGC